TTAAATAGTGACTTAAGTGCAGAACATAATATAATTGGCTTAAGACAAACAAATTGAGTTGCAATACTCCTAAAACTAGTTATATGACAATTGGCTCTGGGCAAAATTTGCCAAATGCCAAGTTCATCAATCTAGAGTTGGATAATAGAACTATTGAACATAAACTTTCTACCAAGTTATTGGGGGCTCATATTGATGAAATGCTAACCTGGGATAATCAGATCAGTCTCTAATGGCTTGCGAATGCTGTATTTAGCTAGCAAACTAACCGATAATTAAGAGACTATTTACTATTCACTTGTCCAGCCCTACTTTGACTATTGTAATGTTGTATGGGGTGGCTTCTCCAAAACACGTGCTGACAAATTACAAAAGTTGCAAAATAGAGCAGCAAGGATTATCACTCGGGCTGATTACTCTATCAGATCATCAGATGTACTATATTCTTTGGAGTGGTCAAACTTCGAAGAAAGAAGAAAAAAGCACTTTTTAGTTACGATGTTTAAAGTCGTCAATATCAAGAACGCGCTTACAGCGACAGTCAGTCTCGCCTTCTTGGAGATTAAATCGAGAAATGAGAGGCGATTAATTCTAAGAGGAACATGAATTACTCGCTAAAGGTTTCTTACTTCCTATCGACGTCGATACTTTTTGTTTGTTCCTGAACTGATTTAGTACGCGCGAATGAATTCACGAAAATTCAAGGGCTTCGATTCCACAGAAACTACATCATTGTCAGAGATCAAAAGAGTTATTTACATGGCACGTCATTTCAATCATCGCCGAAAATAAATCGCATGCTCATCACAAGAAACATTTGCATACAGTGAAAGTTTACAACACCCGACCATCGCAATTTAGCTAATTAAGATTCTTATTTTTTTTCCCGACCACTCAGTAGTGTTCACTTGCTCCAAAACAATCAACGCTTTCAAGCGATAGAATTCGTGGACCGACACGTTTCGGAAAAGCTCTAAATTTAACCTTTCGCAAAACATGCGTGGCTTTGATCACGTAACGATTCTTAGTCCCAGTTTCCACAAACTCCGCAAGGAACGCCTGGCTCAATGACCCCCGATTTGTGTGTAAGTATCATCCCCTTCCTCATCATCATCCTCTGAACTCGAGCCAATCTCGGCAAGGACATAGTCTGTTTGAACGCTTTCATCATCAGAAGATAAGTATTCTTCTTCATTTTCACTAATGCAGAGTGGACTTCCCTCTTCTTTTGTAAAACCCTGCATCTGTTGTTGAATAATGTGCCTTTTCACCTTCATTAGCTTTGCATGCTTGTTTGATGCAGTGCGAAGCCCGTGATGCTTCAAGTATTTATAGATAACTGCTATTGTCTGCTTACTAAACTATGCATTCCAATTATACTCTTAGTATGTCTTGCTTGCCTCAGCTGACATTTTAGCCAGTCTTTCCAAACACTTCAGTTATAATAACACACAAGCCATGATCTCTATGAAGTAAATGATCACGGAAGGAAGCTTCTTCAGGAGAGCTATTAAAGAAGCCACAATAAAGCCCATAAGCATCTTCAAAGGAAATGAAACCAATTGGTTTGCTCGAATGCCTACTTTGTGCAAGCAGGTGATTTAAGATGTAAATCAAGCCATTCAATATCTTGCCCAGTAACTTGCTATCAGTACATGAGCAATCCCCTGTCCAAGAGGTTGTTGCCCACTTTACACGTTTTGAGAGAACCACGAAGGTGTTTTCCTACACAAGACTCGAATCTTGCTTTGCTTCTTAATTCAGAGAACTAAAAGCTGCGCTCTTGTCCAGTTGATATAAACTTGAATTCCTGTTCACAATGTTCATCCTTCTCTGACTTGTTGTCATTGATCTCGATATCCGCCATGTTTTATAATTCCATGCTTTGAACCACTGAATGACTGGAACTTTTGTTCCCAGTACTCCTAGGATTCTTGTGTAAATCCAAAATGGCGGATGAAACGCAGGCTAATGAACACTCGTTGCAAGGATTCCTAAAATTTCGCCTATTTAGAGCATTTCCAATACGGCCTTTGCAGGGTAGAGGTTGTTGATTCCTTCAGTGTTGTTTCTTTTTTGTGGAAACGAAATTGGAAGGCACAAAAATACATGGCCCCTCAGATATGGTTGCACAATTTTATGCAGCCCCCTATTTTCTGGTGCACAAAAAGGTACGACCCCCACCCCATTTGCAACAGCCCATAGCCCCCCCCCCCCCACCCCCCTCTAATAAATGACCGGTCCCTTATTTTAAGAATGATCATTTCTTATTTAAACCACTTCTTATTTCATCACTACACCATTTGCATTTTTTGTGTGCTATTTGACATGATTGTGGTAACGGCCGCCCATAGCTTCGTTCCACAGTAAGAATACTGTAAATTTAAAGTAGTACAGTGTTACATTGTGTGGGGATAAAACGACCCTTAAATTTGTAGGAAAAAGTGAATAGAAGTCATTGAAACCTACGCTGCAGTTAATTTTTTTTTGTCCTTTATGCTCACACGGAGTTTGAAATATGCTAAAATTCTCCCTCTATACAATAAAATAAACAAGGTAGGTCGCAAGATGAAATCTCAGCCGCCATCGTTTCCCTTGAAACACGACTCTTTTCACAAAATTCGAACACCAAGGGCAGACAAACACGCTAGGCTCGTAGAAATAGGACTGCCCCTGATATAGAAACCAATGAAGCTTCCCCAGCTAGCGAAAGAGATCCAGCAGACTTTGTGAAGTTAGAAGAAGAGAATCCAAACAAGGCCGCTACCATGATGTATTTCACAGATCACCGCGTGGCCAAGCAAACGAGGCTTGGGTAGTGCTACCTTCAAAAACACTGCCACCCCAGTCCCCACTTTTTCCCAAAGACCAGGAAGTACACATCTTACATTAGATACATAAAAAACGAATCTTTTTTCCTTTTTCCTTTTCTTGTATTTTATCTCCGAGCTAACACACTATAAAAATCAAAGGTACTTCTTTCACGACTGCCAAAGAATAATGATCCACGGTCTTTAATTTTATTGATTTCCAGTGTCTGGTATTGAGTGTCCAATGTGTACCAATGTCCCCGGATTAGGAGCAGGCAAATGCGACAGTGGCAAAGTCCCCAAAGTTAACTGCTCCGATGGATTGGATCTGTGTATGAGCTTGAAAGGGAAAATGACGGTTCTTGGCTTTACTCAGAGCATCGAACTAAAGAACTGTTCCAACAACGTTCTGTGTGACTCGGCCAGCGACTACAACGGTACGAACAATGCGGATTCTGAAGTTCAAAAGCCAATTCACGACTGCGTATTTCGCTGCCGTCAATCATCTTAGCGGACCTCTTACGAAACGAAAGTTTACTTTAACGGGTTCAAAAGGTCATGGATTGTGATTTGTGATTGGTGGTTTTCGATCCGTTTTGCATGTTTCTGTGTTGCAAGGTTCGTTGCTTGTCAACGTAATTATGATTGACGGCAGCGAAAAACGCAATTGTGAAGGCGGCGTTTGAACTTTGGAGTTCGCATGTTTGTGAAAAGCGCAGTAAGTTTTACCGTTTGTTTTCGACTGCTGGCCATGTTGTTGTTGTCGGGTTTCGTCGCTTGTAAATAGTATCAAAGACCAGACCGATAAGCTGGCAAATCTTGGTATTCTTGTCGCTTCGCTTAGTGATATCTGTGAAGAAAATGCAAGGGGCGTACGAGCAAGGAAATGTTTGAAGTAAAACATGCAAGGGGCGACAGGCCGCACTTCTCAGACGGTATGGGATTTTACTTATTGCTCTAACAAGAAAATCTCTTTCAGTCTTTTTGTACTTATAAAATGTACGGTTATTTGTTCGTTGCTCTGTCTTTTTCTGTAGCGGGCAAATATCGTATTGGTACAGTTTGTACTTTGGCTGAAGCACCATATTTCACGAACTGAAAAGTGTTGTGAAAGTGAAGTTCGCTAAGAATAATTCGAAGGTTTCCAAAGGAGGAATTACAGTCAAACCGCCAGTGAAACCGGGACAAGATTAACTTCATGAATGGATTATTTGAAAAGTGAACCCGTTTGTCGCTTCTGTAACTTGTAGCCGGCATCAAATTGAATTCAAATGATCGGTGAATTTTTGACGTTTTAGTTTACGATGAGATGGAAAATATTTCAATGGGTGAAATTCTATTTAGACACTCTTCAAATTCAAGAGAACTGAGCCGGGAGAAATTTCATAACGAACTCGCGTGTGTATTCACTGCTCATGACACAAGGAAAAATGCAGACTGAAATCAACAACAACTAACGGATGGCGGCATTTTGGCCAATCGGAACAGCGCAAATCATCCGTATTGCACGTGCATATGAAACTTGGAAACAATGCCAGTGAATAATGAGGACGCTCACTTGTAAACACAAAACCTGGGGGGAAAATTGGTTATATTTGAGGCCCTATTTAAAAGCCTTCTCTGTTTTCAATGTTCTTGAAACTTGCAGGGTATATTTATCGGCAATTGATCTCGGGATTGTCAAATTTATAAAGATTATCGAGCGGTTTTTTGAAAAATGCGAAAATTGTAGGTGATTTGCATTTTTCAAGCCGTTTGTCAATTTTTTTGTGATTATTTAATTATCTTAGCGCAACGCGGCAAAAATAGATCAGGTGACTAATTATTTTAAAAACGTAGAAGTTCGTTACGCAACTTACATTTCGAAATTGTCACCACAGATCGCACTTCGAAGCTTACTAGCCGCATATGGAACACAAATTGTAAGTATAATATTTTCCCGTCGCTTCAACCGAAATCGACATGTGTAATAACCTTCTTTGTCATATTAATTTAATTTTTCAGTTGACTATACTACTACAAGTGCAAATAAATTCCATGTACGGTCATGTACGCGAGAATCAGTTAGTGGTGAAATCTTCAACATAAAGTAGCCCTTCAATCACAGGAGCGAATCAGTCAAAATTTGTTCCTTAAGATTACGCCGAGTTACTAACTACCGCCAAGCTTCGCATTTAAATTCCGCTCACAATGCCGCGGAAGGAAGACGTGAAAACTCTCGCGGGAAAACTGGACAATGCCGTCAAACTCTTGTACGAATTAATGGAAGAATTCGAAACAATTTTCTCCGTAAAACGGGAACTAAAAACACTTGAAGCAGCATTCAGTTTAGTAGAAACCAAGTACAGGCTGGTCAAGAAACAGCAGGAAACAATTCTGGATAGACTGGTTGACGAAGGCACTGGCCCAGAAGACGAACTCGTGTTAGCAACAAAGAAAACTGGGGACAAAACCAAAGCTGATTTCCTTCAAATCACTTTAAAGTTTGCTGCATATCAAAAGGAACAAAACTCCTCAGAAAATTCTAACAATGCGACAACTCTGGAAGCGCTAACATTATCAATGTCGTCCATGACGTCGGCGGTGCAGAAAATGGCCGATAACATCGGATCAAAACCGTCAAACTCCGATTACCTGTACCAGTATGGGACGGAACTCGCAGAACCTATGCCAGGTGGAAAAAGGAGTTCAGCCATTGGATGAAGAAAAACGGTCAAGATAAAGATGAACAATTGCAACGTTTTCGAAATGCAATGCCAAAAGGATTGTTCTGGACCGACCAAGTAAAAACTTGTAAAACCATTGACAGCGCGTGGATCATTTTGGATACAGAGTTCGCAGACAGACGAAAACTAATGGACGAACTGCACACCGAGATTAATAATCTTAAAGCAGTCAAACGAGATTCTAAGTCTTTCTTTGAACCACTGTAACTTGAACATGTTTTGATCAAAGATATTTTTATTTAGCCTGTGAACTATCGAAGGTTAACTAAAAAAACTGAATCGAACAGATTTTTTGTGCGGGCATTCGGTTGTTTGCAACGCGCTTTTCAAAATCCATCAATTTTAGTCTTCGAAACACTCTCTGAGAAGCCGAGACGGACTCAATTCGTTTTTGGCTTGTAGCAGAGCTAAGAATAAGAATTTGAAAACAAAAATGGCAATTTTAGTATACAGCCACTAAAGCCTCTTCACGGACAAAAAATAAAGGAAAAGTATTTTTTGTCGCGAAATCGAGTGGACTGCTTTTAGGGAGACTGCCTCTTAAATTGCAGTCCTTGTCTACTCCGACATCCCCAGTTGTTGCTACTTTGCTGGCAACAACTCTTGACTACTTGTTTGCAGTGTTTTTCGTTTTTGGTTTTAAAGCCACGCGAGATGTCAAACGAGAAACTTCTTTTTACCACCCCCCATCGTTTTCTCTTTTTGCCTCAGTTAAGCTTTCGCCTGGCTCGGTATCTCTTATTTTACAAGCTAGAAACAAAAACAACAACAACAACAACAAAATAAACGCCTCTCAATCTCTTTCAAACGCCTCCTATCTATTAAACTTCCCCGCTTAGACCACCAAAATTAAATAGACGCCCCGGGCGTTTATTAGGCCATTTACGGTATTCGAAATCGCAAGGCTTCTTTGACTTAATGTTTCTCTTTTTGCAATCAAAATTTACACGGCGCACTTCGGTTATAGAAGAATGCATACCTGTAGCAACGCTTGGAGGATGTGTTTTTATCTCCATAACATTTGGAGAACAGTTGTGACAAAATCGCGAAAAAAACGGGGATTTTTTTATGTTTTGCAATTTCCCTTAAAACTGTAAGATCAACAGCGCCGCTTTGAGGATCATGTGTTGTTATTTTGCATAACAAAGATGAATCAGTTGTAAGATCCGCAGCGCCACTTTTCGTTCGGCGAAAATCGTTAATTTTGTAAGTTTTGCAGTTTGCGCAAGGCCATCGCGAAAAATCGTTAATTTTGTAAATCCTGAACATAAGTGAACAAGCCTGGCCAATAACTCTTTTCCAGTAGATAATAAAAACTTAAAAGGCAACTGATGAAAAAGAAATTCAACGCTTTTTGATCGCGAAAAGTGCATATCTCGCTTTGATATATTTTAAAAAGTTTAATTCAAGTACACCAACCCCACACGGCGTCTAAAATTAGCATCTTATTCTAAGGCTGATTTCTTACACAGTATTTGTGATTCGATAACGTCTTGTTTTCTTCGCTCCCCTAAAAGAGAATTATTTTAATGAAAGACGTGCGGTCTAGAAAATGTTGTATTTATGATAATTGACCATTTTTCTTCTCAGAAAAGGTGTGTTCTAGAATTTCTAAACTACTGACTGGACTGAACAGAGAAAAACTCCGTTTAAATTATTTGTTAATATCTCTTCCTATCGTCTTATTCCTAGAAAAAAAAGTAAAAGATATTGTGAAAGGAATTAAATGTGTGTCAGAGAACAAAACGAAGGTTTCAAAAACACGGAAAATTCCCGAATTTTTACTCAACGAATCAATTGAATCGGGGCTTGGTTGAATAGGAAATAGTCTCAACAGCTCCATCAAAATATCTTGGAACAGTTCTCTGATCATTTATTTATTTATTTTTTGGAATTACCAGAAATGCGTTAATTTCTCTGGCTCTAAAGGTCCATTCTCAAAATATCTATTTTACTCACGGTTTGATGAAGCTTTCTACAGCGCGTTGCGCCTCGCCGTCGCGGGTTCGTCGCGCGGCATAAAAAACGAGCGATATTCTTCGCCCCAGTAATAGTAGAATTTATGGCAAAGAACCTTGATATATAAGGGACGGACCATTAGAAAACTTATGGGGGGGGGGGCGAAGTACAAAAAAATATTCGCGCAAGGGAAAATTAAATGAAAAAAATTCATGCACGCCAATTAACCCTAAAAAATATTCATGCAATGGCCTAAATAAAATTCATGCAAAGAATTTGATAACGAAAAAAAATTCTTGCAGCTCGAAAATCCCTCCCCCCACCCCTATAACTTTTCTAATGGTCCGTCCCTAAAGGAAACATATTTATAGCGAACATATTTCCATGGCAGTCCCTTAGTCATTCATTATATCAAGGTTCCACTGTAGTTGGTCTCACCAAACTGTTGTGAATATACGGTTTAAAGCGAGCAGAATAGATACTTAAAATATGACTGAAAAAGCCAGTTCATGAACTTTACCAAAAAAATAAAAATAAAGAAGGACCACGCATTATTTGTTAATCAAGCTGCGCTTGCTTGAAACATAACTCTCTGAGCATGGGTCTTATTACCAACAACTAAATGAATGGTTGATACAGCTTAAAAGAGGGTAAGGGACGGACCATTAGAAAAGTTATGGGGGGGGGGGGGGAATTTTCGAGCCGTAGGAATTTTTTTTCGTTATCAAATTCCTTGTATGAATTTTTTTTAATCAAATTTTCCCTTGCGGGAATTTTTTTTTTGTACTTCGCCCCCCCCCCCCAAAACGTTTCTAATGGTCCGTCCCTAAATTATGCTGTCACAAGCAACCACAGCAACGCGGATCGATGCGTTCGTTTCAAATTTCTATTGGGGTGCCATAATTTAAATTTCATATATAGGCAGTTGGATAGAAAAACTGTTAAAGTTAATTTCACTGAATAAATAAAAATTCGTCGAATCTACTTTTCTATATATTTTCGTTCATGTTATACAATCATAGAATACATCAACGTTCAATATCTAGTATGATGATCACGGATTATTTTTTGGTCCAAAAAAGCCTCAAGCCGGGAGAACATAATGGCGTCTTCAAACTTACCGTTAGATTTGAACAGAAGGGTAAGCTCACATACGAGAAAAGCCAGCATTTTGTTCTATTTTGTTTTTGTTTGTTTTTTTTGCCAAATTCTCTAGATTGTCTTGAACTTATCCTTCACTGGCACTCCCTTTGCTGGATGAATAAATGTGTTTTCTTCTTAATGGTCAAAATGATAATGGGAACACGATAAATAATGTAATAGAAGATTATTGTTGTAAATATTGCTGTCAGTCTTTTCTACCTTTACGAAAAAGATAAGTTTAAAATTATTCATAATTTCTAAAAGCCTTACATAGTTATAGTAAAACACCGACAAAATCTCTTATAACAACAAAAAAGATAATAAAGGTAAACGCGACAGGGAATGTTTTTCCTTCAAGAAGTGTATTCGCGTGTTATTAAACTTCAAGATCATTGGAATATAATTTACTTTAATTCAAAATGCGGTTTTTGTTATGATTTCTTCAGAAATTAAATCTTTAATCAACCATTGACGTTGAATTAAAATAACCGAAAAATCCGCTGTTAAAAAGTAATCAAGCAAAAGAAACAGAGCTACTTTGAGCGGAATCTCCTTATTTGCATAGCGCGGTGAAACTCTTTAAAAAGGCTTTTCTTATAAAATAAGCTAAATATAACGACATTTCAACATAAATGTTTTGAATTTTCAAAATTTAAAATTTAACAGAAGAAACATTTTCATTGCTCGGGCTTTCGTTGGATAGAAAAAGACGAGACTGCTAGACAAGTGTTTTCTCCTCTCTTCCCCCGCAGCAAATCTCTTGTTTTTGCCTCCGACCTGGACTTTAATTTGCATCCGAAACGTTTTCCCGGCCGTGTCCGTTAACCAACTTCTCACAGGGTTTTCTCAGGGCTATAAGATTAATGGCTATTCAGGTCCAAGAGCCCCCAAGGAATATTCTAACCTTTCCTGTGCAAATACCGATGCATTAGTTATTGTACCCTGGGCCACACAGCGGGGCCTTTTCACACCCCTTCCTTCTCAAACCTGCAGGTATACCCCATTGGGGTCATTCCCAAGAAACACTCCTCCAAACTGCGTACCATATTCATCTTTCGTATCCGAAATGCCGCCCCACCAGTGTCACCTCCCGAGTCCTATTCTTTGCAATACGTTTTACTTTGACCATGCAATTGCCATACTTCAGGATCTCGGCCCAGAATGCTTCATGTCCCAGCTAGATATAAAATCAGCATTTCGCAATGTTCCTGTCCATCTCTCGGATTGGGAACTCCTAGGATGAAATGGGAGGGGCTCTATTTCTTCGATATAGTCCTCCCGTTCGGTCTTAGGTCTGCCTCCTCTCTTTTTGATGAATTCTCTTCTGCTCTTGAATGGATCATTTTAACTAAAGTCAATATTCCCAAGGTTATTCATTTACTAGATGATTTCTTTTTTGCTACCTCCCCTCCCCGATCAAAATGCATGACTACTCTATGCTAAATTTTAGAATAGAATATCCCCATAGCTCCTGGGAAAACCTTCCCTACATGCACATGCCTTGAATTTGTAGGCATCCTATAAGATTCCAATAAAATGGACGCCCGTCTCGCTCCCGGTAGATAAACTCACCCGCATACAAGAAGTCCTTGGGCAGTGGACTAATAGGAAATCTGCTACCTTACAGAAGCTCCAGTCTTTGATTAGCACCCTTCAACTTGGTTGTAACGTTATTGCCCCTGGCCGCCCCTTCTTGCAAACCCATTATTCACCTTAAAAAAGGGATCAAGTTTCCTCACTGGCACATTCGCCTTAATTCAGGTTTCCGTAAGGACATTAATATGTTGCAACACTTACTCCAAAATTGCAATGGGGTGTCTTTCTTTTCATATACCTAGGCCACCTCTCCACCGGCACTTCAGCTATACACTGATGATTCTGGTTCCCTTGTGTTTGGGGGTTTCTAAGTAAGTGAATGGTTTCAGTGCCACTGGCTTCCCCACCACATGCGCTCAGCCAAAAAAGGGGTATCAGTATTCAATGGTAGGAGCTATTTCCCATATATTTGGCTTGTATTTTATGGGGTCTCCACTGGTCTGGTAAAAGAATCCGCATGTGGTGTGACAACAAGTCTGGTTGCCATCATAAACTCTAAACACTCCAAGTCCCCCCAGGTAATTGACCTCGTTCGAGCAATCACACGTCAAACGCTCAAATACAACTTTGCATTCACGGCTGCTGACATCCCGGGCTGAGACAATTCTATTGCTGACTCCCTTTCCCGTTTTCAGACGGACTGCTTCCGTACCCTGGCTCACTGCGCGTTTCCCACAGCCTCCACAACCCCTCCATCAACGATGAGCATCTGAGAATCGTCGAAGGTTCAGCGGTCAGGAGCCAAGATGGACGCAAAATTTTGAGCTCCCACTTCTTACCTTAATGAGTCGTTTTTCTACTGTCCTTTTATTGGTAGTTTTCACTGAATTATGCCAAAAGAGACAGTTTCTTCACTAAACCAACAAATTCAAGATTTAAAGGATAAGGTCTTAAAAAGACTCATGATTGCTAAATGTTAAGACAACATGGCGAGCGGAGGTGGAGTTGCGAGCTCTGATGAAACGTGGTCAAACTCCATCTCATTTGATGAAAACAACCATCAATGAAAATTAAATGGTTCGCCAGCTGGTCCAAGAGATTTTGTACAATCCCAACTCAACTTACAAGGGTCGTGGGATGAGAGGAACAATGGAAATCAACTTGTCTTCAAATGCCGTGACAGATCAGCCACAATTAACTGGTACAATAAAACATCGACATTACAGGTCCAGGGTCCAAACAAAGATCAAGTGACAAGAGATATTGCACATTGGGCGAAGAAGAGTTCAACTAAATCGCCTCCATCCTTAATTGATATCATTTACCATCCATTTCATCGACTGTGGGCAGGGAAACGTTAGAAGCAACTAACGAGGCTGAATTATCATCTACTCTTTATTAAAACGGAGATACATCTTGTAAAGGCTCTATCTGCCTGATAGAAGCCATTAAGAACAGTTGTCAAGAAGATGAAACACAAACTGTCAAATTTTCAAAAACGTTTGGATAAACTCAACTCAAAATTTTCATCGAACTTAAATGTAAAATTTATCAGACTGTTTTTCATTTTTTATTTTTTGCTCTTTTTTGTAACTTTATTTGATTTACCACAAAATACATTGGGCTCCCTCAGAGTAAAAATAAAATAAACAGTAACAGTAAGGCCAGGATCGAAAGCAAAATACAGTGAAGGTAAGTATAAATTAACTCATTACATAGCCTGAGTTGGCAAAATATAAAGTATGGTACATGTAACAATGTTTTTTTATTTTTATTTTTTTATATTTATAGTTTTTAATACTTTTTATTGTAGTTTTTAATAGTTTCTCATGCTTTAGTCACCTTTAACATAAATTTAATATAACAATATTGTAAAGCGCAACCGAATATATTCATATAGAGTTTTGCGCTACATAAATGTAAATTATTATTATTATTATTATGAAAATAATATCAGAAATGTGAAGAAAGATAACTATTTACTACAAGATTTATAACTAATAATTCATATATAATTTTTTTTCAATTTCGTTTTGAATAAGTGGAGAGAATTAGATTATTTAATATCATTTTCTATAGAGTTATAATAAGTAGGTCCTTGGAAACTGACAGAAAATTTACGAAGGTTTGTTCTACAAAAAGGAAGGTGAAAATCGTTCGCGTATAGCTATGGACTTGTTTGTTTAAAGAAAAATAATTGTTGAAGTTTGAAGGCGAAAGAGAATGGTTAAGAGAACACATAAGTTTACCCAATTCTAGTTGTCTAATATCGGAAAGTTTTAGTAGCTCTAATTCTTTGAAAATAGGGTCTGAATGAGAGTCGAAAGTTGATTTAGAAATAATTCTTATAACTCGCTTTTGCAAAGAGACAAGACGGCGAAGATTGGTTTTGTACGTAGATCCCCAGCCAATAATACAATAATGAAGATAAGGATAAACTAAACAATAATAAAGAGTTTTTATACAGTGTTTAGGCAGAAAAAATCTTGCTCTATTAATGACTCCTATCGATTTCGAGCATTGACCGTTAAATTAAACGAATTGCAACCTGTTGGAGAGGTAGCTTCTAACCCAGTCCAGAGCCACACCACGTATACCATAGTGTTCGAGTTTTTTAAGCAGAATATTATGATCGACGGTATCAAAGGCCTTAGAAAGATCAAGAAAAACGCCAACGGCGCCAACTGTTAATGGCACTCATGAAGCCAGCGTTGAAAGTCTCGAGGGAGAATGGAGTGAAGTGAGGAACCCATCAAAGCCGATTCAAGAAATTGACTGTAGAAGTCAGGACCCGTGAAAACGCCAAGAATGCAATCAGCAGTGAACAGGTTATTATCCAAGAAATTAGGAAATCCAAGGCAAGAATAGTACAGAGTCTTCCCAACCTTGAATGTCGGCCTAGTGAAACTGTTCAAGAAGTTTTAAATCCATCTGTACATGAAGACGCCCATCAAGTAGAAAACCAAGATGTTGAAATCTACGAATCCACAACTGTTAATGGCACTCATGAAGCCAGCGTTGAAAGTCTCGAGGGAGAATGGAATGAAGTGAGGAACCCATCAAAGCCGATTCAAGAAATTGACACACTCATTGTGGGCGACTCCGCACCATCAAAGATATCAAATCCAACCTAGCTTGATGTCAGCTTCGAAAAGTGGGGGGTGGGTGGGTGGGTGGGGGGACCGAATATGATTAGAAAGCGGTGCCTCCGTTGTGCAACAGTTGAAGAATGTACATTTAAAGTCGATTTTAGTGTTTACAAATGTAAGAAAGTTGTTGTTGTCCACCTTGGGACGAATAACAAAGCGACTGACGACTCGCCAAAGACCATTGCAAGTAAACTAGCTGAAGAGGGAAAAGCCATTCAACGCAGTACTCAAACCCCCAAAAAATGGAAAAAAAAACTGACAAGAAGAATTCTTGTTTCGATTGTTTCTTCTTGTTTTGTTTTTTCAATATGCTTCGGACTTCAGTACACTTTTGTTGTTTTTTTCGACTTCTCACGTGCTTAAAACGTTGTTCGAGTTATGGAGGGTAGAATGTTAGCGAGGGTAAAATTACGGTAGATGTATGAAGGAAATCCAGGGCAAATCGACTTTGGGTTCGAGTTAGGAAGCGTTCGAGTTAACGCGAGGCAACTGTAATAGCGCTCCTCAAGAAACCGATATTCACTGTCCAGTTAAGAAATTCTATTTTATGAAATGTTAAAGAGAGAACTTTTTTAATTAACGTAATAAGGGAAATATTTCGGTTTGTTCACAATGTATTTTATTGAGTAAAAACTCTTTTTTCGAACTCGTTAACACGAGTGCAAAAACTTTCCGCTTCAACTTTCAAACTAAATCATGGTCAACATTAAAAAAGAAAAAAAAAAGCCTTTGAGAAAAAATCCTTAGAAAACACTGGGAATTAAGGCCAACAAAAACATGGCGCCAAAGAATGCCCTTGGCCCCAGTTTTTTCACTCCACCGGTGGCCGGTAAGGCATCCGGTGTGGTATCCGGTGTGGTACAGTTCAGCGAACATGAAGTAAGATAGCCCGTCTGGTTAAGGAGCTTGCACGCTGAAAAAGAAGGATAGGAGTAACTCTGCTGAAATAAAGGAGGTGACTCCTATGTGGGAAGTATGAGGATCCTCCTCGGAAAATTAGAATTTACAGTCAAGCAATTCAAAGTCTAGCGTACCCCCCAAGATCTATTTATGATTTCATTATTCAAAAATTGAATCCGTTAATTTGTAGGTAGTAGATTTCAGATTCATCCCTGCATTCAAACATGCAGTGAACTGACACGCGAGGTAGTTATGAAATTTCCTCCGGTTTGGTTTGCAGGAGTTTGATGTAAATGTCTTTAAAGCAATTTTATCCATTCAAAGATTTTCAATCTGACCAAATACAGAGAATAAAAAGTTTACTGCTCATTACGCATGCAGGAATTCAGATTTGAAATTGATAGTAGTTGCGGCAACGACTACCTGATTCATTTTTTCAAATAATCGATTCGTTAATGGAATGTATACACTTGACCTTGCCTTACTGTAACCCTTATATATTTAACAGAGACCAATCTAGGAATTGTTGTATCAATACAGGAAACCAAATTCCCGAACCAGTTAACAGCTGAAGTAAAACTTAACTGCAAGAAAGATGTTGAAATTGATGCTGTCTTCGATACAGCATGACGGTGTCTTCATTTTTCTTTGTGTATTTTTTTCATCATTTTTATGTAACTACCATAAGCTAGATCTGTATGGGCAAAAAAAATAGCATTTACGTCATCAAAATTCACACTAACCGAGACCAAACTCTGAACATTTACACCAAACGCCCAGCATCCCCAACGTGTAATTTATATGGGAGTCTCCCTCGTCGGAGAGGGGAGGGGGCGGCGAGGGGGGGGGGGCAAATTCTTTGCTGTTACGTTCGTACCGTTGTAGTCGCTGGCCGAGTCACACAGAACGTTGTTGGAACAGTTCTTTAGTTCGATGCTCTGAGTAAAGCCAAGAACCGTCATTTTCCCTTTCAAGCTCATACACAGATCCAATCCATCGGAGCAGTTAACTCTGGGGACTTTGCCACTGTCGCATTTGCCTGCTCCTAATCCGGGGACATTGGTACACATTGGACACTCAATACCAGACACTGGAAATAAATAAAATTAAAGACCGTGGATCATTATTCTTTGGCAGTCGTGAAAGAAGTACCTTTGATTTTTATAGTGTGTTAGCTCGGAGATAAAATACAAGAAAAGGAAAAAGGAAAAAAGATTCGTTTCTTATGTATCTAATGTAAGATGTGTACTTCCTGGTCTTTGGGAAAAAGTGGGGACTGGGGTGGTAGTGTTTTTGAAGGTAGCACTACCCAAGCCTCGTTTGCTTGGCCACGCGGTGATCTGTGAAATACATCATGGTAGCGGCCTTGTTTGGATTCTCTTCTTCTAGCTTCACAAAGTCTGCTGGATCTCTTTCGCTAGCTGGGGAAGCTTCATTGGTTTCTATATCAGGGGCAGTCCTATTTCTACGAGCCTAGCGTGTTTGTCTGCCCTTGGTGTTCGAATTTTGTGAAAAGAGTCGTGTTTCAAGGGAAACGATGGCGGCTGAGATTTCATCTTGCGACCTACCTTGTTTATTTTATTATATGGAGGGAGAATTTTAGCATATTTCAAACTCCGTGTGAGCATTAAGGACAAAAACAATTAACTGCAGCGTAGGTTTCAATGACTTCTATTCACTTTTTCCTACAAATTTAAGGGTCGTTTTATCCCCACACAATGTAACACTGTACTACTTTAAATTTACAGTATTCTTACTGTGGAACGAAGCTATGGGCGGCCGTTACCACAATCATGTCAAATAGCACACAAAAAATGCAAATGGTGTAGTGATGAAATACGAAGTGGTTTAAATAAGAAATGATCATTCTTAAAATAAGGGACCGGTCATTTATTAGAGGGGGGGGGGGGCTGTGGGGGCAAATGGGGTGGGGTCGTACCTGAAAATAGGGGCTGCATAAAATCAGGCAAAATCACTGAGGGACCATGTATTTTTGTGCCTTCCAATTTCCTTTCCACAAAAAAGAAACAACACTGAAGGAATCAACAACCTCTTCCCTGCAAAGGCCGTGTTGGAAATGCTCTAAATAGGCGAAATTTTAGGAATCCTTGCAACGAGTGTTCATTAGCCTGCGTTTCATCCGCGGTTTTGGATTTACACAAGAATCCTAGGAGTACTGGGAACAAAAGTTCCAGTCATTCAGTGGTTCAAAGCATGGAATTATAAAACATGGCGGATATCGAGATCAATGACAACAAGTCAGAGAAGGATGAACATTGTGAACAGGAATTCAAGTTTATATCAACTGGACAAGAGCGCAGCTTTTAGTTCTCTGAATTAAGAAGCAAAGCAAGATTCGAGTCTTGTGTAGGAAAACACCTTCGTGGTTCTCTCAAAACGTGTAAAGTGGGCAACAACCTCTTGGACAAGCTAGAGGGATTGCTCATGTACTGATAGCAAGTTACTGGGCAAGATATTGAATGGCTTGATTTACATCTTAAATCACCTGCTTGCACAAAGTAGGCATTCGAGCAAACCAATTGGTTTCATTTCCTTTGAAGATGCTTATGGGCTTTATTGTGGCTTCTTTAATAGCTCTCCTGAAGAAGCTTCCTTCCGTGATCATTTACTTCATAGAGATCATGGCTTGTGTGTTATTATAACTGAAGTGTTTGGAAAGACTGGCTAAAATGTCAGCTGAGGCAAGCAAGACATACTAAGAGTATAATTGGAATGCAATGTTTAGTAAGCAGACAATAGCAGTTATCTATAAATACTTGAAGCATCACGGGCTTCGCACTGCATCAAACAAGCATGCAAAGCTAATGAAGGTGAAAAGGCACATTATTCAACAACAGATGCAGGGTTTTACAAAAGAAGAGGGAAGTCCACTCTGCATTAGTGAAAATGAAGAAGAATACTTATCTTCTGATGATGAAAGCGTTCAAACAGACTATGTCCTTGCCGAGATTGGCTCGAGTTCAGAGGATGATGATGAGGAAGGGGATGATACTTACACACAAATCGGGGGTCATTGAGCCAGGCGTTCCTTGCGGAGTTTGTGGAAACTGGGACTAAGAATCGTTACGTGATCAAAGCCACGCATGTTTTGCGAAAGGTTAAATTTAGAGCTTTTCCGAAACGTGTCGGTCCACGAATTCTATCGCTTGAAAGCGTTGATTGTTTTGGAGCAAGTGAACACTACTGAGTGGTCGGGAAAAAAAAAAAAAGAATCTTAATTAGCTAAATTGCGATGGTCGGGTGTAGTAAACTTTCACTGTACGCAAATGGGTCTGGTGATGAGCATGCGATTTATTTTCGGCGATGATTGAAATGACGTGCCATGTAAATAACTCTTTTGATCTCTGACAATGATGTAGTTTCTGTGGAATCGAGGCCCTTGAATTTTCGTGAATTCATTCGCGCGTACTAAATCAGTTCAGGAACAAACAAAAAGTATCGACGTCGATAGGAAGTAAAAAACCTTTAGCGAGTAATTCATGTTTCTCTTAGAATTAATCGCCTCTCATTTCTCGATTTAATCTCCAAGAAGGCGAGACTGACTGCCGCTGTAAGCGCGTTCTTGATATTGACTACTTTAAACATCGTAACTAAAAAGTGCTTTTTTCTTCTTTCTTCGAAGTTTGACCACTCCAGAGAATATAGTACATCTGATGATCTGATAGAGTAATCAGCCCGAGTGATAATCCTTGCTGCTCTATTTTGCAACTTTTGTAATTTGTCAGCACGTGTTTTGGAGCAGCCACCCCATACAACATTACAATAGTCAAAGTAGGGCTGGACAAGTGAATAGTAAATAGTTTTGAAAGTCTCTTAATTATCGGTTAGTTTGCTAGCTAAATACAGCATTCGCAAGCTATTAGAGACTTTGGATGAAATATGTTTGATCTGATTATCCCAGGTTAGCATTTCATCAATATGAGCCCCCAATAACTTGGTAGAAGGTTTATGTTCAATAATTCTATTATCCAACTCTAGATTGATGAACTTGGCATTTGGCAAATTTTGCCGAGAGTCAATTGTCATATAACTAGTTTTAGGAGTATTGCAACTCAATTTGTTTGTCTTAAGCCAATTATATTATGTACTGCACTTAAGTCACTATTTAAAGAAAATTCAATTGTGGATATATCTTGATGAGATGTAGTTATATATGTATCATCGGCAAACATACCAGGTGTTGTATACCGTAGACATTTGGGAAAATCGTTTATATAAATTATGAACAATAGTGGTCCAAGTATAGAGCCCTGGGGAATGCCACATGATACATATCGTTCTGTGGATAAGACTCCATTTACATAACATCTCTGTGGAATATTATTTAAGCAACTGAAGAGCATTGCCATTGACACCATAACAAAACAGCTTACGTAGTAAGATGTTATGGTCAACGGTGTCAAAGGCTTTCTTTAAGTCGATAAATACACTACCATTAAGTTTACCAGCATCCATGATGGCAAGCCAAAGGTTTACTGCACTTATCAAAGCTGTAGAGGTTGAATGATTAGGTCTAAAGCCATATTGAGACTCAGTTAAAAGATTACCTGCTTGAAAATATTCTAAGAGCGGAGTGTGTATGGCCCTTTCTATAATTTTCGATATGGCAGGTAGAATAGAAATCGGTCGATAGTTGCTTGGAATATTTCTTTCATTGGACTTAAAAATAAGATGTCCTTTTGCCTTTTTCCAGTCATCAGGAAATATTCCAGTGTCCAGCACATCATTAATAATATCACATATAGAGTCTAAGATATACGGACTACAAAGCTTTAAGAGTCTACTAGAAATATTTTCTAGCCCACAACTTACTGGGGGTTTAAGATTGGAAATAAGGTTGAGAATGTATCCTACGTTTACCGGGCGAAAACAACAATTTAAATCGGTTCTATTTAAAAAATCCTCTGGTTGAGAAGCAGTATCAGGAATACCAGATGCCAGTTTACTACCTAGCCAACAAAGTGGTTATTCATTTGTTCAGCTATATCTTGCTTTTGTACAAAATCTTTGCCCTTATAAACGAGTGCATTTATAACTGTCGTTTCAGGCTGGCGACCCAGGGAACTATTCATTACATTCTAGGTTTCCTTCAAATTACCGCTATGCTTCTTAATGCTATCATTAAAGAAATTAGCCCTGGCTTCCCTAATACTAGCATTTACTTCATTTCTTGCCTTCTTGCCGTTCTGCGCTTGATGAGAATTCTGCTTAACTGCTTGATTTTTAAAAAAGTCGCGCTTTCTCATTTTCTGCCTCAGTTCAGCTGTTATCCACGGTAAAGATTTACTTTTCACTTTCCTTTTGCTGATCGGGGCAGGTTTATTTACAACTTCCAGAAATAAAGATTTCCAGATATCCCGCATCTCGTTTGGGTCATCCATAAGAGAAGGAAAGTGGAAAGGTGTCTCTTCATAATGTCTTCAATGAAATGAACCCACCTCATTCTCTCTTGCCCCTCGTAGATAATGTGACCCCCTCCCCACGTCATATTCTGGCCAAAACATTTCGAGGTTAACCGCGTGCTTTATCTGCATGTTTTCAATTTACGGCTGTTACATTCAATTTCCATTCACCCTCGGTTTTTACTCTGCTCTTATATACTTTCATGAAATTTATTAAAATGACCCCATAAACGTTTCCTCAATTATCCCCAAAAACGAATCAAGATTTTGAAAATGACCCCCCAGAGAAATGGCTGGTCTCCCGTCACAGGCAATAAACGACCAGCCCCTATAGTTATTGTTCGGGCTCTTGTTTTCAGTTTTGGCATTTTTGAAATCGCTAATAATGATTAATAATGCATTTTTCTTATGTTTATACCAGAGGAGCTCTGGCTAATTTAAGCATTTCCGTTCCTTAGTAATCTGCCCACGGCATGCATTCATTTGTACTTGTTACTAGATTTGAAGCTGGCAAAAGGGTAACAATAGTAAGAGAGACTACATATCCTCCATATACAGCTTTGGTTTATCAGTTCCTTTCGCTTCTGCGCATGCTCGGCTTCACGAATAACAACTCACACCACCGCTTTATGAACAACTTTAATACA